TGAAACTGAGCAGTTCAATATAAAGCGAAGTGAAAAGGCCAGGACTCTGGCCCGTAGCCAACATGGGGCCCACGGGGCCTGGCCCCCTAGTGTTTCTTCTGGGCCCCCTCGCTCCCGGCTGCCCCCAAAGTGCTCCAACTTACCACCTGCACTGTACTTCCATTTAATTAGCTGGTGGGACCCCCGAGGCCTCCTCCCAAAAAAATTCCCTAGCTACGGGGCTGGTCACTCCAAAAGGAGATTTGTTCTGAGTATAAAAACAATGTTAGATGTTCAGGACTGACTAAAGGGGGGAGCGAAGAGAATGTCATGAGGGAGGGAGTTCCTCAGCTTCATACTATTTAAGTGCCACCTTATGGAAAGCTTTAAGTCAGGGATGTCAAACATGTGGCCCAGGGGGCCGCATTAGGCCCCCCCCCAGGGCTTCCATCAGGCCCCAGTGGAACCGGCCATCTCCTGCTTCCAGTTCTGCTGCTGCTGCAGCATCATAGCTTGCGTAGTCAGACTGTCTTAATCGCTCAGCCATTTCATGTTTTAACCTGGGTCCTAGACTCACAACTTTCAGCATGAGATTTCTGTGGTGAATGCGGCTCACAGATACACGCTCGAACAGCATACTCAGGATTGCAACAGCACAGACATTTTGATGCAGTAATTCAGAGCAAGAGGTGTCCGTTATCAGATACGGTCAAATGAACAAAATATTGCAAGAGTGCTAATGTTTTAAGCATGTTTTTATTTTAAGTTAAAAAACCCCAACTTTGTATTTGCGTCCTTTATAAAGTTTATATCTCCGCTACCTGGCATTACATTTTATGACACGCATGGCCCGGCCCAGCAAGGTCTCATTTATGTCAGATCCGGCCCTCACAACCAATGACTTCGACACCCCTGCTTTAAGTACTGATCTCTGCAGGTCTACCTGCAGTGTGGGGTCATGGTTTAAGTGTCAGGTGAGGGTCTAGTTGAGAGTGGAAAATGCCATCAAGTCGCAGTTTATGTGGTTTTCAAGGCAAGAGACCTTCAGAGGTGGGTTTGCCATTGGCTGCCCTCTGCATACCGACTCTGGCCTTCCTTAGAGGTCTCCCATCCAAGTACTTTAACCAGGGCCAGCCCTGCTTAGCTTTCAAGATCGGATGAGATCGGGCTGGCCTGGGCCATCAAGGATAGGAAGGATTTAGGACCCAGATTCAAATCTCCACTCTGCCCTAGAAGTTTGCTGGGTGACCTTGGGCCAGTTCCCGTCTCCCATCTTAACCTCTCACACTGAATCCTTCCTTGGGCTCCTTTGAAAGATTAACCAACACAAATAATAAAGAATGCTGGAGAAAGTGTAATCAGCAAGGTGATTATATTCATATGTGGTGGCTGTGCCCAGTAGTGTCACAGTTCTGGGAGAAATTTTTTGCAGAAATGGCAAAAATTACACGTCAAACCATCTGTGTTACACCAGCGTTGGCCCTATTAACAGTACGGGAGAAACAAAATGAAAAGGTGACCTCTAAAGGACTAATAGTGTTTATGTTAATGGCGGCACGCAGGATAGTTGCTAAAAGTTGGGAAGCCGCAGAATGATTAACATTACACTCATGGTATTCTGAGTTAGGGCAGATTGCAATAGCTGAAAAATTAAGTCAAATTAGAATAATCAAATCCAAAGGCAAAACTGTAGACTTTTTTGAAAGGTGGCACGATTTTATTTTATACACAGCTCAGGACAATACCCAAAGTATGTTTAAGCCCTTCCTCAGATTATGGGATGAAGTTAAATAAGCCTCTCCCTATACTTTAATCATGTTGTAACGAGATATTAATTATGCATGTTTATAGGAAAAGAAAAAAGAAGGGAAAAGAATTCCTTCTCTTTGTATCTATGCTGAATGTTGAGCTCTCTACCAATGCCTTGATTTGCTTGTTTTTTACTTCTCTTTTTCTTTTTTGCTTTTCTTTGTTATGTGTATACTGTAGGTTGTTTTTCTATACGGAGAATGGGGTGTGTACTTGATGTTTATGTCTGGGGTGTGTGTGTGTATATATATTTATATTGGAATTGGAAGGGACCTCCAGGTCCAACCCGCTACACAATGCAGGAAATTCATGTTGTAACGAGATATTAATTATGCATGTTTATAGGAAAAGAAAAAAGAAGGGAAAAGAATTCCTTCTCTTTGTATCTATGCTGAATGTTGAGCGCTCTACCAATGCCTTAATTTGCTTGTTTTCTACTTCTCTTTTTCTTTTTTGCTTTTCTTTGTTATGTGTATACTGTAGGTTGTTTTTGTATACGGAGAATGGGGTGTGTACTTGATGTTTATGTCTGGTGTGTGTGTGTATACACACACGCACACACACACATACATACAGGGGTCATTTTGTAGAAAAAGAGGTGTAGGAGGTCATTAGCATAACTCATTTGCAAAACTCATTTGCATATGCCACACCCCCTGACATCACCGAAAGTGTGTCAGAAGGCAACACGCACTGCTCAGGCTCCACTGGACTGTTTTGAATTGCTAGCTATTGGGGAGGGGGAAGAACGTGCAGGTCTGTCCTCACAGAGGAGGGAGAGCTTGTACCTGAATAAAACTTGGTCTTAAAGGTGCCACTGGCCTGTTTTGGACCAGCGGGCCGGGGGGAGCTCTGCCACTTACCTGGCTGCTTCTTGCTCTGACTGAGGGCTGCTGGGAGCAGGGGGTGGGGCTTGTTGCATGTGCCCGCCCCCTGGGCTCTTTACTGCCGGAGCTCCGCTCCTGTGCGCTTCTGGAGGAAATGACCCCTGTTTGTATGTGTGTGTTTGTGTGTGTGTGTGTGTATTTGCAAAAAAAAAAAAGGCAAGAGATTTGTCTGTCTGTATCTCCCTCTTTTTCTTGGCTGATGTTGCAGGGGTGGGGATCTTTTGCGCCCCCAATGATGAATTCTTTTGAAATCATGGGCTCAAACTGCCTGTCTAGGATCCTTTGCCCCAGCCGGAGGAGAAGACGGGGGCTGCGATTAGAACAGCCCTCTGGAGGATTCAACCAAGGCGCCTGGTTTCTGTTTCTCAGTTGTTTCCCCGTTCACGTGTTAACAGCTTCCGAGTTGTGCTCCCAGCTCCCGTTCAGAATGGTCCCATGATAATTTCCCTCCTCCTGTGGAATCCAAAGCAAAGACAGTTCCCGTTCAGAGTGAATCCTCTCCACCTTTACAGAAATTTTAATTTTAGAGCAATCTCCTTGCCCCACCCCTTTAAAATACAGAAACATAGATTTGGAAGGGACCTCCAGGTCCAACCCGCTACACAATGCAGGAAATTCACAACTATCTCCCCCCCACACACACACCCAGTGACCCCTGTTCCAGACCCAGAAGATGACAAAAAAACCTCCAGGATCGCCAGCCAAACTGGCCTGGAGAGAAATGGCTTCCTGACCCCAAAGTGGCGATCAGCATTTCCTTGGGCGTGTAAGAAAGGGCCACGAGAACTAAGCACTGAGGCAACCCTGCCTGCCCTCCTTCTCGTGCCCTGCCCAAGTTCACAATAAGGTAATTCTTTCCACTTAGCTGCTTTCTCCTGTCGTCAGTTGTGAACCCATTCTCCGTTTTAAAAGCCCTTCTCCAGTCGCATTTGGAAAGGACGGCTTGCTTCTATCCCTCCCTCTTCCCCCTGCTGTTCTTTTGCTATCCCCTCCATCTTTTTACTCCTGCCAACCTAGCAGTTCAAAAGCAAGAAATTGCAAGTGGATAAATAGGTACCACTTCGGTGGGAAGGTAATAGCGTTCCGTGCGCCTTGGTGTTCAGTCATGCTGGCCACTTGACCACGGAAATGTCTTCGGACAGCGCTGGCTCTTCGGCTTGGAAATGGAGATGAGCACCGCAACACTAGAGTCGGATTCGACTGGCTTTTCGAGCAAGGGCCCCTTTACCTTTTACCATCTTTTTAGCCTCACAACAACCCTGTGAGGTATGTCAGGTGAGCGGCTGGCCTAGACAGCTTCAGGATCTGGGATCAGGCCTACTTGGACATGCTAACTCAGGGATCCCCGACCTTCTTGAGGCTGTGGGCACTTTTGGGATTCTGACACAGCCACAAAACGGCGGGGCGAAAGACACAGTGGCTAGGGCACCTTCCATTACAGCGAAGAGCCTTGTGGTGTGGTGGCCAAAGCAACATTCTAAAAAAAAACCCTTGCCCAGCCAATCAAATCTCCACTGGCCAATCAGAAGGCTTGCTGGGTGAAAGCCCCGCCTGGCTTCACCCACTTTCTTTCTGCAATTAACATTTTATTAATAATTAACAAAGAACAAGTAGCAGTACATGTGTCAGCTATGCTACCATGGGGGTTGGGGAGTTCATTCTGTGTCTTGTTAATTGTTATTGCATTCCTATCCCTGCTGTTCTCCCTTTGCTGAAACGCTTATCTCTACAGATGCGCAGGAGGAGGTTGTGTTGTCTGGAAGTCTCCCATCTACCGTGAGAGACTCCTGGTTCCCAGCTTTAGCCACCTAACGGTTGCCTGACTTATCCCACGCGGCAGTGTGCCTAATTGGCCAATGCCATGGGGGGGGGTGCATACGAATACCCTATATCCTATTATGCTCTACTGGCTGTGGCCATTCTTAACAGTCTCTGTGTTACTGCATCTATAGCTTTGCAATAAAAGTATAACCGTTCCTGAATGCGTGTACTTCGTTGTTGGCTGTGGGTTCTGACAACACGTGAAGTATGTTAAAATGGAAGAACACACATACACTGCGTAAAGCAGAATAGAAACATAACACCTCAACAGTCCTCTGAGTAGACGAACAGTAACCATTCTACTGATATATAATTAAAACGTAACTCTGCAATCAGAAAGATCGCTATAATCCAAGATCAGCCACTAATTGAGGAATTTCCCCTTGAGGCAACAAATATTCAAGTATAGGTAACCATATAGAGGAAAAATAGGACTGTCTAGAGCAGGGGTGTCAAACTCATTGGTTATGAGAGCCGGATCTGACATAAAGGAGACCTTGTCGGGCTGGGCCATGTGTGTCATAAAATGTAACGCCAGGTAGCAGAGATAGAAACTTTATAAAGGACACAAACACAGAGGGTTTTTTTACTTAAAACATATAGCACTCTTGCAATACTTTGTTTATTGAACAGTGCCTGATCACTGACACCTCTTGCTCTGAATTATTGCATCAAAATGTCTGTGCTGTTGCAATCTTGAGTATGCTGTTCAGGTGTGCATCTGTAAACTGCAAATCTATGATGATGCGGCAGCAGCAGAACTGGAAGAAGAAGCCGAAGACAGCCAGTTCCACTGCGGGCCTGATAGAAGCCCTCCGGGGGCCTGATCCGGCCCCCGGGCCGCATGTTTGACACTCCTGCTCTAGAGGGCCTAACCACATTATCCAGATTATCTGTGAGCTTCGCCATGATGTATATTTTCCATAATTTTTGACGTGGGTGCCCAGGAAGTGCTAGCAGGTGCTATGGTGTCCATGGTCACTTTGTCTGGGACCCCGTCCTAAGTAATCTGCCCCACTCTCGCCCCTGCGGAGGCTTCAGAATCCAAAATGGAGAGGAGTTTTGTCCCTACAGGAGTTTTATTTTCGTTCCAGGCGGTCTCTAGCACGGCGGTCACCAGACGTCTGCTCCATCTTCGTGCTGCTTCTCGCTGCATCGCCGTTGGTGAGGCTGTGCCAGCAGCTCGCCAGTGTCCTGTTGCCAAAATGGCGGCCTTGTCCGTGGTTTGCCCCCAGACTGTGAGCAGGTGAGTGTTCTGGCTGCCTTCAGAGGAGGAAAAAAGGAAACGTGTCTGTAATGATTCCTTGTTTGAGTGTGTGTGTGTCTCTTTAAAAGTTTGGTTGCATGGCTGTGGTAGGTAGACTAGAGTGGTTGAGAGATGCAAGTGTGGTATGATTGGTGGTTGACAGAGAGGGGGAGGGGTTTTTGGAAGTGAATCTGGGTGGATGCGTAGGTGTGTCAGTCAGGTGTGCGGAATCAGTTAGAAGTTGACAGTTGAGGTTGTTCAGGCAGAAAGAGAGCTGAGTGTAAAGGATAAGCTAAAGGAAAGTTTAATTGAAGAAAAGTTATGGGAAAGTCTGAGTGTCATAACAAACTGGAGTGAAACAGTGAACATATATGGCATTGAGATAAACAATGGTTACAACTTTGCAAAGAAAAGATCCCTGTCAGAGAGGGATAAAATTGTGTATGATACCAAATCAGTTGCTCATCATTTACATATTCCTAGTTACATTTTAACCACCCACTTATGTAGTACTTATTTCAATAAATCCTCTTCCATCCAAGTTTATACCAGCTCTGAATGGAATACTTCCCAGGACCACATAGTTCCCCATAAGCCTTGAACTCGGTCTACAAAATGAGTAAGAGCAACAGAAAAAGCATAAAGGTTTGGAAATCCTTAAAAATTCCTGGTGGCAGCAGAAAATACCCGGTTAAACAAAATAAAGAGCACTTTTAAAGGGAAACTAGTCCTCCCCTATAAGGAGGGCTTCACAGTGTCCTTAAAAACAACCCCCTGAAATGGTGCGCGAGGAGCACGTTATTATAGGCTTGCAAGTATGGCATCTACAATCCTGAATTGATCCGCTTTGGCCTTGCTAGAGAAATTTCTATGATTCCAGAATTACTTTTGCTTAACTATGCAGACTTCTGCTTAATTATGCAGCTATGTGTCTGAGGAGGCGTCAGCCTGTTCTTTTAAATCTAATCGTGGGGGCTAGACTTGTTTACATGAGATACTGGAAATCAAATTCAGTCCCCAGGGTTCGTAAATAGGCTGGCAAAATCAAGGATATTTGTTGTTGTTGTTCAGTCGCACAGCCGTGTCCGACTCTTTGCGACCCCATGGACTACATCACGCCAGGCCCTCCTGTCTTCCGTCATCCTCCAGAGTTTGCTTAATTTCCTGTTCATTGCATCGATGACACTGTCTAACCATCTCATCCTTTGCCGTCCCCTTCTTCTTTGACCTTCAGTCTTTCCCAGCATCAGGGTCTTCTCCAGTGAGTGCTCCCGTCCGAAGTATTCCAAACAGCCTTTGCAAAGACGCCCGTTCTAGATATTTGGAAGATGCGTTTCCTTTGACTTCTTCAGTTTGCTGGCTGTGTGAGTGGAACCTGATTTCAGCAATTTCAACAGACCACAAGGTTTGTAGTATAAGGAGCGAATCATAGGTTCTCAAGGAAGTGCATCTTCCAAATATCTAGAATGGCCTCTTTGCAAAGGCTGTTTGGAATATATTATGACTATGTGGACTCCTCCTATCATGTTATCAAGTTACACTGAATACATGGACTTTATGTCTTATTTTCAAAGGAGGAAATATTGTATCTTATGCCTTAATATAGGTAAAAGGTAAAGGTTCCCTTGCTTGAAAGCCAGTCGAATCTGACTCTAGGGTTGCGGTGCTCATCTCTGTTTCAAAGCCAAAGAGCCAGCGCTGTCCGAAGACGTTTCCGTGGTCATGTGGCCGGCATGATTAAACACCAAGGCGCACGGAACGCTGTTACCTTCCCACCGAAGTGGTACCTATTTATCTACTTGCAATTTCTTGCTTTCGAACTGCTAGGTTGGCAGGAGCTGGAACTAGAGATGGGAGCTCACTCCGTCATGCGGCACACTCGGGTCTCGAACTGCTGAACTACTGACCTTCCACAGCCTGCAGTTCAGCGTCTTAACCCCGCTTGCGGGGAGGGCGGGATAAAAATACCTAAATAAATAAATAAAATAAAAATAAATGTTGTTGTTGTGACACCACCAACTTTATAATTGTTTAATAAAGTGTTTTGGCAATCTTTGATGGTGTTTTCTGCTAGTGGAATTTGTATATTTGGGACACTCAGTTCTATGGCCTATAGATATCTTGCCATCACGTAGTTTAAATTGGGTTTTAGATTTTCACTTGAAAGGGATTTTTATATATTTTTTATTGCTCTGGTGTATCCCGCTCTGAGCCCGCTTGTGGGGGAGGGAGGGCTTAAAGTCGCCTTGATTCATTGACTTCCGAAATCTGATGAGATCAGGCTAGACTGGCCTATCCTGGTCAGGGTCTAGCCTGGTATACCAGGGTTGGCCTCAGGCAAGAACGACAGCAGGGAATAAGGTTTTAATTTCTTTTGTATCAGCCAGGCTTAGCCTAGGCTCATCTGAGCTCGGGGACTAAGCAGGGTTAGCCAAGGTTAGTACTTGGATGGGAGACAACCTAGAAGAAGAAGAAGAAGAGGAGATTGGATCTATACCTCGGCCTTCACTCGGAGTCCCAGAGCGGCTGACAAACTCCTTTCCCTTCCCCTCCCCACAACGGACACCCTGTGAGGTTGGTGGGGCTGAGAGGGCTCTGACAGAAACTGCTCTTTTTCAAGGACGGCTCTTTTTTTTCCCTTCAAATTTTTTATTTATTAACAATAAGATAATTACAGTAAACTGTTACTGAATAACAACTTCAAATATCCAAATTAACCCTCAACAATATGTGACTGTTCTTATCTAAACATTAGCAATCATATCCAAGTAACACCTTTAGTTATACATTTAACATATAACTCTATTCAGTACATACCGAAATCAATAGGAAATGATCAAATTAGTGTTAAATCTATGCAATATATTGATTTTTGAGAAATTCGAATGTCCCTCAAGGACAGCGCTTATCAGAATTATGGCTTGCCCAAGGTCATCCAGCAGCTGCAAGTGGAGGAGTGGGGAATCAAACCCAGTTCACCCAGATTAGAGTCCGTGCTCCTAACCACTACACCAAACTAGAAAGACAGGGGTTGCTATGCAGAGGGAAGTAAAGGCAAACCACCCCTGCTCCTCTCTTGCTATGATCTCTAGTGCTTTAGCCTTCATCAGTAGTCGTTTCAGGTCTTCACGGTTTTCCTCTATTAATGTGGTGTCATCTGCGTATCTCAAATTATTACTGTGCCTTCCACCAAATTTCACTCCTCCATCTAAATCTCACCCAGTTTTCCTTATAATACGTTCTGCATATAGATTGAACAGGTAGGGAGATAAAATACACCCTTGTTTGACACCTTTGCCGATTGGAAACTGTTCTGTTTTCTCCGTATTCTGTCCTAACAGTAGCCTCGGGTCCAAAGTACAGGTTGCGCATCAAAACATTCCGATGTTGTGGCACTCCCGTTTCTTTTAAAACCGCCCATAGCTTTTCACGATCCACACAGTTGACAGCTTCGTTGTCATCTAATTAAAACGGAAACCGATTTTCTTTTGAAATTCTGTAAGGCTCTAGTAACCGTCGTAAATTTGCAGTATGACCTCTAGTGCCACTTCCTTTTCTGAATCCAGCTTGACAAAATTCCGTGAGTCGCTCTCTTGCTTCATTTCGTAACCCCGGTCCAAATTTTCTGACAGTCTTTGACTCCGCGTTGTGTTTCCTGCTTTTGCATTCTTGTCATTCATGACGATCATCACATCTTGTTTAGGTGTATGATCAATTTATCCCAGATGCTCGCATAAAAGCTTTCAGTTTCTTCCTCTTCAGCATCTGTAGTGGGAACATAAACATGAATGACGATTCTGTGGATTGGCTTTCCATGAAGTCTGATTTATATTATTTGGGCAGACTTTGCATTCTAGTCCCTGGTTGCTTGTGCTACGTTTTGCCTCACTATTAGAGCAACTGAAGAGGGTTTTTTTTTTTTAATTGTTTAAAAAAATTAGTCGTGCTCAAACAATATGGGCTTGAACTAACACAGTTCGGATGTTACCCACTGTGCCACCGCTCAGATTGAACAGGTAGGGAGACTAAGCAGGGTTAGCCAAGGTTAGATTGAACAGGTAGGGAGATAAAATACACCCTTGTTTGACACCTTTGCCGATTGGAAACTGTTCTGTTTTCTCCGTATTCTGACCTAACAGTAGCCTCGTGTCCAAAGTTCAGGTTGCGCATCAAAACATTCCGATGTTGTGGCACTCCCGTTTCTTTTAAAACGATCCACCCAGTTGACAGCTTCGTTGTCATCTAATTAAAACAGAAACTGATTTTCTTTTGAAATTCTGTAATGCTCTAGTGACCGTTGTAAATTTGCAGTATGATCTCTAGTGCCACTTCCTCTTCTGAATCCAGCTTGACAAAATTCTGTGAGTCGCTCTCTTGCTTCATTTCATAACCCCGGTCCAAATTTTCTTACAGTCTTTGACTCCGCTTTGTGTTTCCTGCTTTTGCATTCTTGTCATGCATGACGATCATCACATCTTGTTTAGGTGTATGATCAATTTATCCCAGATGCTTGCATAAAAGCTTTCAGTTTCTTCCTCTTCAGCATCTGTAGTGGGAACATAAACATGAATGACGATTCTGTGGATTGGCTTTCCATGAAGTCTGATTTATATTATTCGGGCAGACTTTGCATTCTAGTCCCTGGTTCCTTGTGCTACGTCTCGCCTCACTATTAGAGCAACTGAAGAGGTTTTTGTAAAAAAAAAGTTAAAAAAATTAGTCGTGCTCAAACAATAAATGTGTGCTTGAAAATATGGCATAGATGTCTACAGTATTTGTTGTTCAGTCGCACAGTCGAGTCCGACTCTTCGCGACCCCATGGACCAGATCACGCCAGGCCTTCCTGTCTTCTGCCGTCCTCTGAAGTTTGCTCAACTTCATGTTCGTTGCATCTGTGACACTGTCTAACCATCTCATCCTTTACCATCCCCGTCTTCTTTGACCTTCAGTCTTTCCCAGCATCAGGGTCTTCTCCAGTGAGTGCTCCCTTCTCATTTGGTGGCCCAAGTATTTGAGCTTCAGTTTCATTATCTGGCCTTCCAGGGAACAGTCAGGGTTGATTTCTTTTAGGATTGACTGATTTGATCTTCTTGCAGTCCAAGGGACTCTCAAGAGTCTTCTCCAGCACCATAGTTCAAAAGAATCTATTCTTCGGCGCTCGGCCTTCCTTATAGTCCAACTCTCGCAGCCATACATGACTACTGAAAGACTATTGAAAGAGGTAGTCAATCTTTAAAGGTACAATTGTGGTCTTAGGGTACTGTCTCAGTGATGATCTGGTTCTTATAGATCCACATGGGTCAATGCAGGGGTAATTCATGAGGACAACCAGATGGATTTCACCTAGAGAACTGGTGTTGAGTAGTGATGGGCATGAACTGGGAAAATGTGGTATGGTTCATGGTATGCCAGCTTCATGAACCATGAAACATCACAAATAAACCAGTTTCATTTGTGAGGTTTGTGACATGGTAGAACACCCCTCAGCATGATAGAGACACCAAACTCACAAGGGATATCCGGCTAACCCACCTCTACCTACATGCCAAGGTTGGTGAGGATTGAATTTATGGGGTTCGAGTTATGGCTCCCCCAAAGAAGGTGTCCCCAGGAAAGCATTTTCTGGGGAAATGACAAGACAAGTTCTCTCAGAGCTGGTCTCTCACGAGCAGTTCTCTCAGCCTCACCTACCTCACAGGGTGTCTGTCTTGGGGAGAGGAAGGGAAGGAGATTGTAAGCCGCTCTGCGACTCCTTCAGGTAGTGAAGGGCTGTGAATAATTCCAAGCTATTCCTCTTCCTCCTCTTCCTCCTCCTCCTCCTCTTGTTGTTTCCATAATAAAAGACTTTGTAATTTTCTGACTGAAGATATCCTAATCCAAACCCTTTTTGTTCACTCACCCCCAGAATTCCAATATTTAAACATTCCATTTCTTGTCTTACAATTTTGATCTTACCTTGATTCATACTTCTCACATTCCATGTTCCTATTATATGTGTCATAAAGCTTTGGACTTTTCGTTTTGCATCTGTTCGCGTAATCAGCTCTTTTGAGGACTGCTCTTGAGAGAACACCTCTGAGAGAACTTGTGACTGACCCAAGGTCACCCCACTGGTGCCCAAGGTCATCCAGCAGCTGCATGTGGAGGAGTGGGGAATCAAACTAATCAGGGAGAACTGGGTTTGATTCCCCACTCCTCCACTTGCAGCTGCTGAGTGACCTGGGGCCATTCACAGTTCTCTCAGAGCTGTTCTCTCACGAGCAGTTCTCTCAGAGCTCTCTCAGCCCCACCTACCTCACAGGGTGTCTGTCGTGGGGAGGAGAAAGAGATTGTAAGCCACTCTGAGACTCTGAATGAAGAGTGGGGTATAAATCCTATCTCCTCTTCTTCTTCTGAATGGGGCCCTGACTGACCCCATGAGATTTGTGGGCTGACCCTGTTTTTCCCCCACAATGCTCTGGCGGGACAGCCACTACACTGTATCAGCTGTCTAGCCAGTATGGCTCCTACTCCTTTCTGTCCTCCATGACTCAAGCAGACGGCAGCGGCGGCCGGGACCGTTGGGGGTGGGGGGTGTGGCCTTATGACACACTTCCGGTGATGTCAGGTGGTGTGGCATATGCTAATGAGTTATGCTAATGAGTTCCCCTAGCTCTTTTTCTACGAAACGACCCTTGCCCAGGAGTATCTGTTGTCTTTTGTCCATTCGTAGGGTCAGTTCAGTCCTCAATCGAGAGGTGAAGCAATTTGGAAAGAAATACATGTTTGATGGGAATGCGGAAACATGCTGGAACTCTGACCAGGTGAGATGGGACGCTTAGCCAGCTCATGTATGCGAGCCGAGAAATCTTACAACGTTGTGTTCAGGTAGGCCAGTCTTATTATAATAACCTGAGGCTACCTTATGAGTTCTTTGGCAAGCAAGGTTCAGACTAGAGGATTTGAAAGCACCGTTGCTTCAGATGAAAGCATACCTTTTTCCATCCCAGCGCAAGTTCTGTAAGACCACTTGGGGGAAAAATTCAGCATGGTTTTGTTTTCGACTGAGGAAAAGCTGCCTGTGGCGAGTGCCTATTAGCTAGCACCCGTGACATCACCTACCTCCTCCCTTCTCATGAATCCCTTGGTGCCTTTTGGCAACAATTTCTTGAAATCCATTTACTTACTGCCTCGAGCGTAGGTTGCAAGAGAAACTGAACTTTGGGGGTCATTTTTATTGGCAAGCAGAAGTCCCCGGTTTCCCCAAAGTGGGCTCTGTGCAATCTTCTTTTGTGCCTGAAAAGCTTTGCTCCATTCCCTGCCGCTCCTCCAAATCCTCTTTTTATCAGAACTTATTTCCAGGGTTTTTTCCCCCCTTTTGAAGCTGTGGTGGCTCAAGTGGTTAAGACGCTGAAGTGCAGGCTGTGGAAGGTCAGTAGTTCAGCAGTTCGAGACCCAGGTGCCGCATGACGGAGTGAGCTCCCATCTCTAGTTCCAGCTCCTGCCAACCTAGCAGTTCGAAAGCAAGAAAATGCAAGTAGATAAATAGGGACCACTTCGGTGGGAAGGGAACAGCGTTCCGTGCGCCTTGGTGTTTAGTCATGCCGGCCCCATGACCACGGAAACGTCTTCGGACAGCGCTGGCTCTTCGGCTTGGGAACGGAGATGAGCACCGCAACCCTAGAGTCGGACTCGACTGGCTTTCGAGCAAGGGAACCTTTACCTTTACTTTCCCCCTTTTGCTTGTTTTTCTTGATGTTAGGGCTCCATCCAGTGGCTGACGTTGGAGTTTCCACACACAGTCAAGGTCTCCCAAGTTCAAATACAGTTCCAGGGGGGATTTGCAAGCCGGAAATGCACACTGTATGGTAAGGGCTGAAAGTTAATTGACTTGATGTGAGGAAGCTGGGGATCCTATCCTGCATAGGATATAGGGGTGTAAATCCAATCTCCTCCTCTTCTAGTTGCCAGGCTGTTTGAAAGGCACCTCTGTCTCTCGAGGACTAGATGCTGGGGGTGCAAAGAATTGGGTAACTCCTCTACTTTAATGTGAACGGCTGGCAACAGAATGTTGGACGAGACTCTCGGTCCGATCCAGCCCACTGTTCTTACACACCTCTCAAGAAAGACCGAGCTTCCACTGGTAATGATTCGTCCTGCCAAAGAGGCAAGCCGTTCTAACAGGAGAGTCGGAAATCTCCTCACAAGATGGTCGCCGATTTCCCAGAAAACTCCTCAGTGTTTTCCCACCCTTGTACTGTGTTTGAGGCTATCTTGGGGAGTTCGTAACATGTTCTATCAGACTACAACCTCATCCCGGTAGCAGTTAATTTTCATTTAAACTAGTGTCTGCTTATCTGCTTGAGGGAGGGGCCGCGGCTCAGTGGCAGAGCCTCTGCTTGGCATGCAGAAGGCCCCAGGTTCAATCCCCGGCATCTCCAGTTAAAAGGATCAGATGCAAAAGACCAGTACCTGAAACCCTGGAGAGCCACTGTCCATCTACAGAGCCAGTCTGGTGTAGTGGTTAAGTGTGCGGACGCTAATCAGGTAGAACCGGGTTTGATTCTCCACTCCTCCACTTGCACCTGGCTGGATAACCTTGGGCAAGCCCTAGTTCTGATAAGAGCTGCTCTTGAAAAAGAGCAGTTCCTGTCAAGAGCTCTCTCAGCCCCACCTCCCTCACAGGGTGTCTGTTGTGGGGAGGGGAAGGGAAAGGAGTTTGTAAGCCGCTCTGAGACACCTTTGGGTAGTGAAGGGCGGGGTATAAATCCAATCTCCTCTTCTTCTTCTACACTTGATGAACCAGTAGTCTGATTCAGTATAATGCAGTTTCCTCCCTCACTGGAAGTGGTGTAACTACTAATTCTGTTGATTTTTGACAGGACTCACACCTCCCCTTTCTGTGCCAACTCCTCCCTGTTCTCCTCACATTGAGTATTTACATTTGAAAGACTCACGGGGGGGGGGGGATTCACACCAAGACTCCCCCCCCCCCCCCTGCCATAAAATTTCCCTGTATAGTTTACGTTCATACATCTGACAAAGTGGGCCCGTGACACATGAAAGCCCATAATGGCATAAATGTAGTTCGTTTTTACGGTGCCACTGGACTTTTATTCTGTTTGACTACAGCAAACTAACCTTTTTTCGCAAAACTCTATCTCTGCCGCTATCCATTGCCTCCTCAGTGATACGTCTATAGTCCGGCTTACCAAAGATTTCAACCTTGATTTGGAAAGCTATAGTCAACTACAAACATAGGCTTCGGTCACACGGCCCAGATAACGCGGGGGAGGGGGAGGCGTGGCTGTTAGCCCCGGAGCAAAATAAAGCACAGTAGCCCGATCAGCGTGGCAAAGAAGCGGCGCAGCAAGCGTTTCGCGTTTGTGCACATGCGCAGTTCCGCGGAGCAGCACTGCTTTCAGTTACGTGTTTGTGGACATGCGCTTACGAAAAACATCCCGTTTGCGACAGGACATGGACGGGCGCCGGATGCCACGGGATATTAGTGCTCCCGCGATCAGACGCCCGCCCCCGCCCCACGTTTTCCGGATACTAGTGCCCTTTCCGTGGTCCTTTTTTACTGTGCATCTTCGGCGGGATGGCACGGGTTGGCCACGAGTGCACTACGCTTCCCAGATGTTGCGGTCAATGTTCCCTCTAAGCTGTGGAGTCTTGTGAGCAAAAATTCTACTTTGTGAGCTACTGGCATTGTGAGTGAGTGATTTGGCTACTGCATAAATTAGTTTGCTCTGGAGCCATCCTCCCTGAGCTAAGACAACAATGTGTGAGCCAGAGGCTAAAAAACGGTGAGCTAGCTCACACTAACTCAGCTTAGAGGAAGCACTGGTTGCGGTGGGATCGCGCACCGAAAATCCGCCTGGCATTCGTGTCTTTAGTGCGGCAACTTCTCCATGTGAACGGGGCCATAGATTGCTAACTGCTGACAATCTTCCGGCTCTGACCTTTTTATCAGCACAAGATCGTTAACTGGCAAGGATGGAATAATGCCATGGACACTACATTCAAGCATTTGGGCACACATGAAACAGGGAAATTAACATCCAAAATCAGAACGATGCTCATCACCAAGTTAATGGAGCATGACTGGAACGCACTCCAAAGGGATGCCATACGAAATGTAGAGATTAAATATCCCATCAAATTGGACATACCACACTATTTGTATGTGCTGCCCATCCCCAACTTGAGGAGCGCATACACGGTGGCACGTTGCAATGCATTTCCATCTGCACAGATGAAGGGTCGCTTTCAGGCCATCCAAGCAAATCAACACTACTGCGACTGCCCATTAGCAATGATAGATTCGCTTGTCCATATATTTTCAACTGCCCAAAACACATAGCTGGGACTTCTGCTGAGTAGCCTGTGCCATAATTGTATAACAGATGTGGCACATTTTTGCTATACTGTGTTTTTAAATGTTTAATTTTTTTTTAACCTTTTAAAAACACTGGACGGTGTGGGATTGCGAACTATCGGGGGGGGGGGGAACGTGCAGATCTGTCCTTGCAGAGGAGGGAGAGCTTATACCTGAATAAAATGTGGTCTTAAAGGTGCCACTGGACTGTTTTGGACCGGGGTGCCTGGGGGGGGGGAGGCTCTGCAACTTACCTGGCTGCTTCTTGCTCTGACTGAGGGCTGCTGGGATCAGGGGGTGTGGCCTGTTGCATGTGCCTGCCCCCTGGGCTCTTTACTGCCGGAGCTCCGCTCCTGTGCGCTCTTGCAGGAAATGACCCCTGCCTGGAACCCACAAGGTTGAGACTTCTGCTGAGTAGCCTGTGCCATAATTGTATAACAGATGTGCCGCATTTTTGCTATACTGTGTTTTTAACTGTTTAATCTTTTTTTAAAAAAACATGTTTAAAATTTTAAATTTTATGGTGTATGGCCTATGAGCTTTAAACCTAATAAATCGATTGATTGGTTTGAGGCTAACTCAGCTACCCGTTTGAGATGGTCGGTGGGGGGGGGGGCACCGTCATTTCTGTACCAGTCAACTACAGTTGTAGACCGCTATCCATTCCTGTCCCCCTCCCCTTGTCCTCTTTTTAATTTCTTAAGGCTGCAGCAGAGGGGAAGAGCTTTCCCAGATCGCTGAGGTATACCCCGAAGATTCAAACTCCCTCCAAATATCCTTTTTCTTCTGACTCGCTGTGGCTAGAAGATTCTGGAAACTCTCCAGGAAAGCAGCATTACAGCAGCAGAAACCAAGATTCCTTAACAACTTGTGCCCTAAAAACCAATTCACACCTTACTTTGTAATTATTCACTTGAGGGAGGCAAAGCTGTGTTCCCTCTAAGCTGCGTTAGTGTGAGCTAGGTCACAGCTTTTTAGCCTCCGGCTCACACATTTTTGTCTCCGCTCAGGAAGGAGGGCTCCAGAGCAAACTAATTCATGCAGTAGCCAAATTGCTCGCTCACGACTTTCATGCCAGGAGCTCACAAAGTAGAATTTTTGCTCACAAGGCTCCACAGCTTAGAGGGAGCATTGGAGGCAAAGTAAGGTGGGAGTCGGTCTCCCGCCCCCTCCAGAGTTTAGGGTGTCCTTCTCTACAGGGAAGAGTATACATTTCCGGAGGCCTTTTTTACCTCTGTTGTACCCAGCCTTCATGGAGGTCCTGTTGGAGACATTAATCCCATCCAAACTGACGGTAAAAGGTAAAGGTTCCCTTGCTCGAAATCCAGTCGAATCCGACTCTAGGGTTGCGGTGCTCATCTCCGTTTCAAAGCCGAAGAGCCAGCGCTGTCCGAAGACGTTTCCGTGGTCATGTGGCCGGCATGACTAAACACCAAGGCACACGGAACGCTGTTACCTTCCCACCAAAGTGGTACTTATTTATCTCCTTGCAATTTCTTGCTTTCGAACTGCTAGGTTGGCAGGAGCTGGAACTAG